ATCTGATGGACTGTGTTTGCACTTGTGCTTCTCAGAATTTGGATCCATTATTGTTGCTAGATTCCTGCTTGTGCTTGTCAAATTTACATTGCATTAGCTGCCCGTTTGTGCTTATTTTGGTGCAGATTGGCTGCCTTTGCAGCTCAGAACATGCTTAAAAGATGTTTTATTTGGATATGCACGTTGCAGAATCAGTTTCCTTGTGTTGCCTGCTTGCTCATCTCTTTCCGCCTCTGATGCAATTCAAGTGAGCACCTAGAGCTTCTGCTCCCAAGTGGCCTTCGGAGTTCGGAGCATATCTTTTTTCTCCGAAAGAGTAGCATATGAGTTAGGAAAATACTCCCTCCGTTTTTATTTACTCCGCATATTAGCTTTGACTTAAGTCAAACATTGTAAGGTTGGCCAAGTTTATAGAAAACAATATGAACATTTACAAAATGTGCATATCTATATGATGTATATAGATGTGAACATATATTCAATGATGTGTATGATTACAGTTTGAACTGAGAGTAGTGGCATTGTTAAAAACTTTCCTTGAAAAAAATATTGCGGATGAAGTTTGAAATATGCATGCCTTATGCTTGTTTATTTTTAATTTCAGAAGGGAAAGTTGAAATGCTTGGCAAGGAATCAATTCATGCCATTGTCCTGGGGGTTTTCTCAGCAGCCATTATGTCAGATGATATCCCTGAGACATTCAAATTCAAAAGAGTAAGATCCACCTTTCTTGATAATCAAGGAATTAGCTGTTCTGATACTAATATAATGTGTTGAATCTTATATTTGTTTTGTTTCATGGAACTTCATAAATGAAACCTTCTCTTTTCAAGTCTCAGTAATTGATTATCAATTTAATTTGTCTTGTTTGGATGCTTCATAAATTGTACTCAACAGAGCTGATGCCCATGGATGTGGAAACTGAACCTTGCAAGAATTGTTTGTTATATTGCAATGCATAGCCATTCAGATTCGCTTGTACTCAACAGAGCTAATGCATATTTACTTGTGCATAAAACCATATGGCTTAAAGTTCATCTCTTTTCGTGTTGATCTTTAATAGTTGGAACTTGCAAGTATACTGTGTACAGTTCTGAACGTTTTTGACAAATATTACGGCCATCATTACTCAATTTTGCCAACTGTTACAAGAAAAAGAAGTTAGCGGATGGTGTTCACATTATCAAAAGGTACATGTGACTAGGAAGTCTCTAAAGAAAGTAAACACCAAAATGTGGGAATAGGCCTTGATTTATTGCATCGTAGAGAAAAATGGCTGATACTTCCAACTTGAATGGGTTCGTGAAGACAACATGTGATTAACAACTTCCCAATCTTGAGAACTCTGTAGATATAGTAGTTTTAAACACCATCCAATCACTTTAATAAGTTAGAGTTTATTGCTTTCACAGAGAGGACATGGAGGAAAATTTATAAGCCAGTCGGACAAGCGGCATGTGATTAAAAAAGGAAGCATGATACGGTTTTCTGTTAAAAGGTATGGGCTCATCCAGTTCCTCTTTTGTCTGGTTCAAATTGCCTTTCCCGGAGTTTTATTTCCAATTTGGCCAGCAACTCTACACATTTTAGATATTTGTATAGCTTTTACTTTGCTTATGTTACTTATACTGCTGTATGTTGGTGTTGTACATGCGTACCGTAGCGTATTAATATTTTTTCTCTGCTGTGCTGATGAGGGGGTACCCCTAAACCCACCTTGCTTTGAACTTTCAACAATAGCATTCCATAATAACATATCAGGAGTTTGATGGTGTACAAGGTGATGGCTTTCTTTAATGCATGAAACTATATACCAGCATGGTGATACTAGAGCTATATAAGGAGGAAGAGGATTTGTAGCACCTGGGCGCTCCACCCCTTATGTGAACATTAAGTTCAAAAATACCGAGAAATTTGAAAAAAAAACTGACAGTATACCGATATCAAACTTGGGTGTCCGATCTACTTTCGTGTGAAATTTCGTGGAAAAATACCAGGAAATGTATCCGTGGCAAAAAAGGCAAAAAATTCCTATGTATAGAAAAAAAATGTTTGGATGGATTTTTGTTCGGACATGGATACCTTTCCGGGTATTTTTTTCATGAAACTTCACACGGAAGTAGATTGGGAACCCAGGTTTGATATCCCCAAATTTCAGGGTTTTTTGAATTTTTTGGTATTTTTTACATGTAATATTTTATAGGGGTGTGGAGCACCCAGGAGCTCCTGTGTATTTTCCTATATAAGGAGCATTAGCTTTGAGCTTATTTAATCATGCACTATGATTCCTTCAGAACAAATAATGTATTAGAAACGGACTGAAGCTCATCCCCACAATATATTGAGCTGCATGTGAGAACTATATGAGCATTCACTAAGCGATTTGTAGCTTGTATGTTACTCTACTCTTAGTCAAATAGTCATGTGACACTGTATTTTGAGTCAAATAAACTAATCACGTGCCTTTGCCTGATACTCATTTATAGGGTGGACACGGAAATGAATTGTCACATAACTGGATCTTTGATGCCACCTCACACAGGATGCATGCGTTGGCTATCAGTACATGATACTGAATACGCATCGGAAATTAGCAGGTCTGGTTTGCTAACACATGCTTCCGTGCTATTTTTTAAACTGCCATTTCAATCGGTAGTTCTGTGCGGCAATTTTCAAAGCTTGAGTAAGCTTGAGTAATAAAATGTGTGCTGCTCGAAATTTCCAGTGGTAAAAGGAAACCAAGGGATCATACTAAGAGCGAGCAGAAGGTACAAGATTGCACAACTGCGAACCGCGAAGATAGCGTGGTGAATTCTGAACGACCACGCAAGTCCCGAAAGAGGGCTGTTGGGGAATAATGATGCCATTTGAAGTAAAAAAAAAATTTGTCATGGACTCAAGACTTGCAATCTTGCTGACTCGTTTTTGGAAACATGGTTTTGCTTGGCTCGGAAGCTACTTCCCAGTCGCTCCGTGCCAATAATTTTTTGCGTAGCATCAGTTGTATGATGATGATGTAAAATAGGACAGGTAGTGAGCGCGTAGTATGTTTATCTGGTGTTTTCTGATCTTCCAGGGGCGATCTTGTTTATGAGTAAATCGATAGATTTCAGTTTGGGTGAGGCTACACTTTCAACTGATTTTTTCAATTAGGGTCAATCGATTTGTGGGCCGTTGGACGAAGATTGTGTGGCATCTAAACCCTCTTCTTCCTCACATCTGTTTCTTCCCAGACCGCCATGCGTGCCACCGGCCACTGCCGCCCCACCCTCCCCGAAATCTCTCCCCACCGCCGGTCCGCCGCCGCCCCGGCCATCCCTCTAGGCCCTCCTGCGCCGAGTTTTTTCTCCGATGAATCCCCACGCCACTGCCCCACCATCGTTCCCCTCCATCGCCCCATCTTGAACCCTAAGATGGATAGTGGGGTAGCCTCTCTGGCG